TATATTATTATTATTATTTTTAATTTTTATTATAGAGAGCTGAGAGCTGCAGACATAAAGAAAAACTTAATTTGAATTTAAATTAATTTTCTAGAATTTATTTTGATAAAATATTTAAATAATTTTTTAGTAAAATATATTTAAACTCATTTTATATTATTATTATTTTTTTTTATATTAAATATTATTTATTTCCTTGCTGATATATTTCTTCATTTACATGCACAATATTGCTCTCCTCCTATTTGTCGCCTGGCAAACGCTTACAACTATTTAAAGTACTTGGGAATTAATGTGTTTTCGCTCCAATTAGGAATACTTAAGCAGGCAATCAATTTGCGCCGCAATGGCTGGCTAATTTGCGATAATTAACTAAATGCCAAGCAGCACGTGCCGCCAAGTTCATCCAAATCCCATAAAGCAATCACATGCACTTGCCCAACTATTAAAACTCCCAAGCCAAATGCGAACTGAATTTCCGTATATATATATATTTTTTTTTTTTTCGCCTGGATTCTTATGCCTGTGTTTTTACTTCTTCTTCTTTTTTATTTGGGCTGCTGTCCGGGCCATTACGACTTGCTACATTTCCTTTTGCGACTTCTTTTGGACCCCCATCGCTCCCCCTTTCTCCCTTCAGCTCGCTTGTCGCGTTTTCTGGCAATTTTCCATATGCAACACGCAACAGACGTTTTTATGTTTTCTCTGTGCGGCAACGTACACATAAAAAATAAACGAGCCAAAAGGACCAGAAAGGAACCAGCTTTAGAGTAGAAAATAGTGATATAAAAAAAAAAGAAGGAAAGCAGAAAAAATTGGAGAAGCAGTCAAAAGAGTGGAAGTCAATTATCGAATTAATTTAGTTGCCACTGACCTGGCCAAAAGTGGGAGCCATCATAAATGTAAATGGGCTTAGAGCAATGTCAGCTGCCCCAAATGGAATTCAAATTGTTTTAATTTTGTTTTTTCCATTTTCATTTTTGGCTCTGCGAACGGCAGGCAGGCAGCCAGCCTGATTGCACAATTTGCAATTAATTAAATTATTGCGCAAATGACATTTTTGCCGGCTGACGCGCCACTCATGCAACAGTCTGTGCACACACACACACACACACACGCACACATACTCATACAGCAATTTAATAAACACGATATCCTGCACGGCGTCTGCAACGACGGACCCGGCCTGGTCATGTAATTGATGCGTTAATCCGCATATTGACAGCGGTTATTGCGGTGGCTTTGCCAGCAAATATGCCCACTGTTCTCCCATGGGAAGAAGGGCCACAGATAATACCCTCTCTCTACCCACCTCTCACTACCACCCCTTCGGGACTGCTCGCTGATATGCAGCATTTATGGCCTTTTAAAAGGATTTGCACACTGCATTTTGTACTCGCTCGTGCACGGAAGCTAAGTAATTTAATTACATTGCGGCGATAAAATTTATATCAATATATGGCTTATACCATGCTACGCTGTGCAAGTGATTTTATTGGCATTGCATTTTACATGCTGTGCGGCAGGAGATGCATTTTGCAGCTAGATAATTGCATAAGCTGAGAATTTATTTAATTATATTTAGTCAAATATGTTTCTATTTGCATTTAAATAAACTTCCTTTTAGATTTTCAATGAAATAACAAATATCAGCTGTAAACAAAACTAAATTGAAATATATTACAAACACACATACATATATACATACATTTATATTTATCTACATGTATTTATAAGAGAGCACATACATACCTTGAGCAAGCAGCAACTCCATTTCTGTCTCATTCACTCTCACTCCAACACTTTTCCATTGGAAGTGGATTGCATTTGCAATTTCAGTTCTCACAAAAAAAAAAAAAAAAATAAATAAATAAAATAAAATAAAACAAATAAGAGCAAAAATATGACAAAAATGCACACACAACATTTTATTGAACTTATAGCACTCGTTAAACACATTAAAAACTAATTGCTTTAACTTAACAAACAAAACTTTTGACGATCTGCAGCGCAGCCGCTCACTGACTAATTATTCCCATTTGCGTTGCTTATGCTCTAAGCACCTACACCAACAACAAAGAGAGCTTGGACTTCTTCGCTACACACCATTTCCAACGGCGCCATTTGCCTAAACGCTCTCATTTGGCTACTCAACTCAACGTAATAGCTCTCTCTCTCACTTCTGCCTGCAGCCTATAAAAGAAGGGCAGCAAGTCAGCGGGATCGATGAGAGTAAGCTGACTACAGTGAAGGCATAAATAATTGACCGCTCTTTAGCTACGTAATTAAGCGCTACCAGTGTTATCTCTTATGGAAATCTTTGTGTTTTTAATGCATTATTCGTGTAAGTGTGTGTATATACCAAATCAAATTCAATTGCCTGTACGAATACATACTTTTAGGCTGCAGCTAAAAAGGCTTGCTTATAGCTAAATTTGGCTAAATTTGCATTCAGCAACGGCAAAGCTGTGCCCGCAGATGAGCAACAGTTGAGTGCACAAGTGGAGGAATATATATGAGTGTGTATGTGTGTGTGTGAGTAACTGTACAGTTGGGCGCACTATTTTTCAATTTATTACGCTCACATAACAAAACTTTATTGCTAAGCTTTCGCAGTGACTGCTGCAGTTACAGCTGCTTTTCCAGTACCGCCAGCTCCCCTTCCAGTTCCAGCTGCCTTTCTTGGCCCCGTATCAGTGCCTGCCAACTAACTGTTCAATACTCATGGGGAATTTGCCAATGTGACGTGCCAATGTGTGCGTGCCGAAGGAAAATTAGTCCAAACACGGGCAGGCAACAATCCCGCCCCGCCTGCAGCCCTCACTATTCACCACTCGTTGCTGCTGCTGCTGCTGCTGCTGCTGCACCACAGGTGGGTATCAGGTGCTTTGGGCTTTGTTAACGGATTTATGCGGCAATCATAAAACTTGCCAACTAACCAGCAAGAAATGTCGCGCAAACCAAATTGATTTATGTGTGCAGCGGCAACAACAACAAACGCAACAATCGAACGGATATAATACACGCCCACAGGCCCATGTCTAGTCAGGCGTATCTTAGCCAAGTTAACAGGCAAACGAAACTTTTAATTTACCAAATGTACTTTGTCTAACTTGATGATTTCAATACGCACATAAAGAACGCCCAAGCTAGCAAGTGCTAAAGAGTCAGAGCTGACTGGAAAGGAGTAGAAGAGCGAGAGAGAAAGAGACGAAGAGAGGCTGGTTGGCTGGCTGGCTGGCAGTGTTGGAAAAGTTGCAATTTAATGGCAGGGCAAACGTAAAAACGGCAAAATTATGACCAAAATGAGAATTTAATCGAAATACGTGAGCGGAAAAATGAAAATTTGACTGCAACTGGGGAACGTCTGAGGCAAACGTTGAACGTCGGGCCAAGTTGCAACCGGCATAAAATGCCAAGTGCAAGCTCATGCAATTTTTATCATGGCCACAAAAGCAAACACAGACGCAACACGGTAGCAGCGCTCTTCTGCCTGGTCACACCGCCTCACCTCAGCTCACCTCACCTCACCTCACCTCACTTCAGTTCATCCTCATCGAGCTCCACCTTTATGCGTTACCTTGACGCTCGCGTGCGCGTTGAGCATCTGAGGCAATTGCACAAATTAATGCCACTGGGCGCTGACTGTTGCTTTCTGCTGCTCGCATTTGCCAGCTATCCAGCTACAGCTTGCATCTTCCATCTTCCATCTTCTCATCTGCCAGCTACCCAAGCTCGACCATCTTCATCTCACGTCTGCCAGACAGACAGACAGACAATTCTCAAATGAGTCAACAAGCACTAAAATTGTTTATTTTATTATCCAAGTAATATTTTGAGCACGGCAAGTGGTTCCGACTTATCTAAGGGACTGTGGGGAAAACACTCTGGGTAGAGTCATGATTATTTACTATGGGCGTCAGTAAAGTTCTGTCTAGGATTTATTTCCATTTTATGTTTTATCATTGTTAATTATTTTGTATATTCATATAAATTATTTATAAGCTTATATTATTGAAATGCAAATTATAGAATTGCCAAAATAGGATTTTTAAAATATGTATATATAAATGTTCTAAAGTATATATTTTTCTTTTATATTTTGCCTACCTTTTTATAGTAATTTTATTTGGCAATAAATATATGTTTTCTATTAATAAAAAAAAAAAAAAAAGGTTTATTGTGGGTTCAAAAGTTTTATTTATTTTGTTTTTATGTTTTTATTTTTTATTGAGGAAAATTCATTTTATTGCGGAAAATGCATGTAAAAACTTATAGATACAACTTTCAATATTATATTACGATATCCAATCAATAAAAAAATAAAGTTCACCAATAAATATTTTTCATCGTTTTGTTCGACCGAATTTCCGCTGATGTGGCAACACCAGTCACTCGTTTGACCAACTTTTAAGAGCTTGGCTAAAAGAGCATAAGCCACGCTATGCGAATTTATGCGAAAAGCAACTCGATTGCTGCTGATCGAGCGTCGCCGTCGCTGTCGGCGTCTGCGTCTGCGTCTACGTCTGCGAGCCACGAGTCACGTCACGTTCCCGGTATAAAACCAAATGCGGAGCGCTTAATGCAATCAGTCGCAAGCCGCAAGTCATCAAGTGAAGAGCCCCAACAACAAGTGAACGAAAGCTGCACGACAAGTGCTCAGAGTGCTACTACAACGACTATATAAAGACATCCATCAAGCCATCCATCTACGCGTGTGCAAAGTGCCAAAGTGTTGCAAGTCCAAGCAGAATGCATCGTGCCTCAACTCAAATGAAGATCGCCGGAGGAGCTCTGTCGGTGCTCCTGCTCCTGCTGGTGTTCGTTGCCTGCTGCCAGGCACGGCCCATGGATCTGTACGATGATGTTAGCGATTTCTTTGATGCCATCTCGCTGGACGATGTCGCCAATACGGGCCGCAATACGCATCCGGAACAGTTCTGCATGATGCCCGCTCGCAAGGGCGTTTGCCGTGCTCTGATACCGCGCTGGCGCTACGATCCGGAGCAGAAGAAGTGTGTGGAGTTCAAGTTCGGTGGCTGCGATGGCAACGAGAACAACTTCCCCAGCTACAAGACCTGCATGGCCACCTGTGAGGGCATGTAGACGGTGATTGGAGGAGCAAGTGAAGAAGTACGGCTGATCGGTATTTCTGTATCCGGTTGGCAGGCGTTGCCAAAGGCGCTTCCCTTTGCTTTTCGTTCTCGAATCAAAGGCAGCATTTAATTTAACACACACTCGCACACTCCTCTACATCCACACACACATACACACCCATACATCCCATCAAGTAACTTTCTTTCAATATTTCTCTTTTATATTTATACATTTTCTTCAATTTTTTTGTTTTTGCTTTAAAATATGTATAATTGTAAGTCACTTCATTCATCATTTCGAAATTTTTGTTTTAAGCCAAAATTAATTGTAAACAACAGCGGGTGTTCAACACTTTGCTCTAGCTCTTAAGATATTGTGATAATTATTCATGATGAAATAAAGAATAAAACCAAATCTTCAATTTTAACTGAAATTTCTGTTTTCTCCATATCTTTCTTCGATCTAAGATAAAGCTGATCCTTGGCTGTTATATTTACTGGCTGCATTAGGTACTCGGTTGCATTCCTGGATGGAATGCACAGTTTTGATTGTGTTATACAAATCTATCATTTGTTATACTTTGTAAATTTCATCTGTATTAATGAGTTATAGGCATGTTTATGAACTGGTTTACATTCGTTGATAGCATGATCAGTCAAATAAACGTTTACACATGTATTTTATCTGTTATAATTGCTTGTAGTAATGTGTTTTATATGCAGTTATCGATTTGTTATACATTTCAGGACATTTCTATATATTTTTTTTATGTTCTACAAGTCGTTCATATATATCGCTATGTTTCACTTCTCATATGCATGAAGGCTTTTTAATGTGTTCTACAAATCTTTCATCTGTTATACTTGATTTCTTTCATCTATCTTAATATTTCTTATGCACAGCATCATGTTATACAAATGTTAAAATATATAGGGTCTTCACATGTGTTATACATGCTTTAAATCTGTTATATTTGCTATAGACCAATTTTTTGTATTAAAAACAAAACCCATAATCTTAAAGCAACTACAACAATTATTTGTAGAAAAAACCATCAAAGAACAGATCAAACATCTATTGCCTAATTTTTTGCAGAATTTTCCAGCAACAGAAGTTTCGAGTACAAAAATTGAATGCAGACAGAGATTAAGCAATAGAGGCCAAGTAAATGGCTTCAACTAGATACGTTCTCAATTTTCGCGTTAGACATTAAGTATATGATTTCCCAAGTTGTTTACTTAGGGATTTTACAATCAGTTCTAAATGACTATTGATAAACTCGTTGTAAGCCAGAGATAATTGACAAAGGCAAATGCCAAACAATTGTCATTGATTCATTTCTAGCTTAGCCTGAGGCTATCTCTATGGATATAAATTCGCATTGCAACTTTCATAGATTTCACTTGGAAGTGGCCCAACTGAGCTGGCTTCGAGTAATTTCTCATAACGCGACCCATTCATGCGAAAATATTGTTGTTGAACCAAAAAAACAAGAAAAATGAAGATAAATCAACAATAATAATAAATGAGCAGAAATGACATGTGGAAGATTAGATACCCTAAGAGATAATGGAGTTGCGCAGACTACCATATATAGACTAATATTTATATAAACATAGCTCTATAATATATAATTCCTAGAGACTGTAGAGACTACAAGTTCTCAATTAGAGTTAGATAAGGGAAATATTAAAGACATGAATATAACTGAATACATAAAATCTATCACAGTTTAAAGCGAAACATTTTTATGCCAAATATTTATGCGAAATATTTTTAAGCACCTATATGAATTATACATATTTATATATAAGATATATTGGTCGAAACTTTAAAATTTCAGCCTATCCAATATAAGGCACAGCTAATGCCAAGTTTCAACACAAAAGTTTTAATTATTCAGAGATCAGTTTGTATGGAAAACGGATAGACAAACAGAGTTGGCTTTTAAGACTGGGCTATGAAGACAGATTACTAATTTAAACATATATCTATGAAGTCAGGTCTCTAATATAAACATGTATACAGTCTAAGGTCAATGACGTCATCTTCATATGCATTCCACAATTCGCAATGAAATTAACATACTCCAAACAAGAGTATTTTACAAACAAACAAACAGCAAATGAGAGTAAACAAACCAGATCAGTATATGCAAAGGTCGTGCTACTGATGATGAAAATAATAATGTTGATGATGATGATGATGACTGGATCAAGTCAATGGATGTCTAGTTGGGTCTAGGCAAACCACTACGTAGAAACGCCAGAGATTGGAGAGATCACAATAGAGTAAGCCGTGGGCAGGTGTATAGACAATAAACAATTGTAAGGTGCGAATTTATGTTAAATCGATTGCCAATAAACCTAATTAATCCATGTCAACGTAGACGCAGGCTTTGAAGCGAATCCGAAAGCGAGGGCAACAACGAGAGCCGCGATTTGTAAGGCCTGGCTGCGGGCCTTACTGTCATACACATATCGATATATATTATTTATAGTTTTCTGGATCATTGACCCGTGGATGACTGCCGTAAAGCTAGTAACAGTTGAAAGCCAACTCAAGATAGGAAGCCAAGCTATAAAAGCTATATTTAGCTCTCTTTTGTGAGTGCTGCGCCTTTCTTTGAATGAATCGAATAGGTTGATGCAGGTTAATTGAATGATAAATATCGGATTTACCATATGACAGCTCCATTAAGCTCTATAAAAAGTAAAGTCTGACTGCAGAGCTGCCCACTAAAAAACTAATCCGACCAAATATTCACAATTATATTTATTTATAATGTCCTACATTTACTGAAAACATACTCATATAACAGTTACATATGAAGAGAACCTAGTTTAAAATATTGCCTAGCGTGGAGTTTAAATCAAACGATCTAGCAAATTCTATGGCGCGGAAACTTAAATTTCCGCTAATCGCGGATAAAGAATATCAAATTAAATCTACAAGTATGTATGCTAAAATACAAAAATTTAATTTGACATTCGTTATCAATTTGTTAAATATTTCAATATTGCTGACAAATTAGAGTGTTTTGCTAATGTGCCTTGTATAACAGGTTTAAAAAGCTATTCGATAGTTGCTAACTAATGTTATTACTAATCTGCGCATACGTATGCATTCCCTAATATGCAAAGTATAATTGTTGTAAAGACTATCAATTTAAAAATCATTTAAATAACAGGATAACTATTTGCTTGATAAAATTCCCACTAGCTTACGCATAAAAATCCCAATTGTTGAGTGTGCTACATAAAATTCCCACTTAAGCGCGCATAAAAAGGCCAAAAATGACGTAGGTAACGTACTTGAGCAGCATTAACTATGACACAGAGCTGGCAGATTTAAAAAGGGCAACTCCATATGTACTATGAATATCACTCTCTATTCTACGAGCATATGCATATTTATTATGCTTACACACACACACGGGCATATTCGGATTCAGACGCACTCGCAGTGTTGCAGCTATTATGCTCTTGTTTTCTTGTATTCGTTTTGCCAATATTTATGTCATAATATTGTTGTTGGTTTTATTAATTCACAATGCTGCGGACTTTGCACAATAATTTGTAATTTAGTGCCGCCAAAAAGCAAAGCGGGAATGAGTGATGGAGCGGGGGGCGTGGGGAGGGGGCGTAGCTCTGTTGGAGTAAAACATATTTGGCGTGCTCACGTTTAATGCTCAGCTCAGTCCAGTCGCACCAGCTCGTATTCAATCAAGCACAACTCAGACTCAATAAACGGATTTTTGTTTTGTTTTGCTTGTTTCCATTTCGTTTTTCGTTGATTTTTTTTGTTGGTTGCGCAGGCGCAACGATTTTCGCAATTTTGGTTTTTGGGTTGCGAACTTTGCTAAGCTTCTAGAAACTTCTGATGAGGCAAGAATTGCCCATTAAAATTGGCTCAAACAAAACTAAATGCGCCGGCGAATGCGGGCGAAGTCAATAAACTGTTTTAACCTGCATAAAAGCAAATAACAAACAACTAACAACAGTTGCGGCACGCAAGGAAATTTGAAAAATGTAGCAAAAAATTAATTAAAATGCACTAAGCGCGCCACCAGTCTATGAAAATGCACAATAACAAATTTTCCGCCTTGCATGAATGGCAAATAAATAGTGTTTAATGTTGGCTTTTTTAGCTTTTCTTTTTATGTTGTTGCTGTTGAAATTTATTTATTAAAGGCACGTAGCGCATGCAAAAAAAATTGCAAATAAAATTCAAAATAAACAAATACAGCTAAAGTCAACGGAATACAATGCGCCCCGCCTCCAATGCGGGTTTGTGTCCAGGTTAAAGCGATGCAAAGTCAACGAACTTTATGCGCTGCCAGCAAAAGTACCTTATAAAAATACCCTAGTTTGGATTGCTGATAACGGCCGTTGAGTTAGCTGCTTGCGAGAGGGGGAAATTTTTGTCAAAGCGGACAATTTTGTGCAGTGCTTCAATTGAGTACTTGAAATGGCAAATGCCAGTGTTTTTATATGTATTTTTTAAATACTAAATATCACTTCATTAACAACTTATAGAGTATTTGCATCGTAAGAAAAATATTCATTAAAATAAGCATGACGAATGCATTGCTATTGGTCATGTCGTTCCAGCTGATAATGCAAATAGGCATAATGAAAAGCGTAAATGGATATAGACATTATTGGAAGTAATTTCCTGTCTACTTAAGTAGTCGTAAAGTACATAATTAGATAAGCCTCCAACGTACTTTTGTCGTGATAAAAAAACCCAGCAGGGGAATTCACTTTGAAACGTCGGGAATTTACCATTTAGAAAGGGTCAATAAAAATTATCTCTAAGGCTCTTGCAATTCATCAACTTTAGTTAGAGTTTAATTTATCGTTCTTTACCAATTGCTAAATACATATATTTATTATAACTAACATACACAATGTAAATATATATTTATATATACTTTTTTTTATCGTTTTGTTTATATCTTTGATTATTAGTAGAATCGATTGATAGGCGTTCGGAGCTTAACTTTTCAACTATGATTCTTAGCAGTAGCAAAAAATATGTTTTATATTCTCTCATACATTTTCATCTTAATCAACTTTAAATTTTTACTCTGCTGCCTAGTTCTAGAATTTAACATTAGGTTCATGGTTTCTATTAGTGTTTAGTTCAACGTCAACGTTTCG